TGAGCTGTAAACAAAGACTCCTTATGTATGAATGAGAGTTTACAGTGAGGGGAGACTCATCAAGCAAGACAAGAGCTACTGTGACAGTCGAGTCAAGACTAAAGAAAGATTCGTCAGCCAGAACAAGACTATTACTGATTAACCTGCCTGACCCTTTTATTCTATTCCTTCCCTATTTTTTCTGTCATTGAACTCTCGGGGTAAAGCTTATTCTTGAACCTATTCATTGTCGGAAGGAAAGAGACTCCACTCAAGCCGCATGATCCTTAACTCCTTGTGCAGTTATGGTTAGTTATTCAAACACTATTCTTGAACTCGGTAAAGCAACAGGATGATCAGCTCAATCACCTCTCCCTATGTTTAGGGCCATGTATGAGGTAATTACATTGGAAGTCCAGAGAGAGACTGAACAGCTCTTTCTTTCTTGCTTGCTTTCACTCCTGCCCCTGACTGAACCTATATGACCTTCGCTACTGAACCTCGGCTTCTCTCTAAACTAAGACTCAACTCACTATTCATGAGAGTGAACTCCTGTCTGTTCCTATTCTCTCATTCACCTCTATCTATTCTCTGACCTGAACCTGACCAGAATGAAAGAAGAAGATATTCCTTTCTTTACTGTCGAGTCAATGAATTAGTTGCTTTACAAGAGAATTGATTGAAGGGAGGGGAGAAATGAAAGATTAATTCGACTTGCCAGGAGGGAGAGTATGGGAACCTTAACCTTATAATGGATTAGCTACTGAAAGAGAATGAACAGGGTAAACTGGACGGACTATTCTTCTTCACCTCTATTCCTTCCCTCAGAGAAGGAATTGATTGAAGATTACAGGAGAGTCAATTCATGAAATCCAGTACCAGATTGAACTGAAAAAGAAAGAGAAGCTGCTGAACCAGCCCCTTCTATATTAGATTATTACTACCTTCGCTTCTGGAACAGTAAACTCATTAACCTCTATTCCTTTCTGTGTTCGTTATTCGACTGAACTACCTAACCTCTCCCTATTTTTTAGGTGATGTAACTCGTTCTCGTGGCTTCTTCCTTCCCTGATATTACCTGAACCTTTAATTCGATTGAACTCCTCTGCCTACTTACTTTACTCCTCTCGTCTTCTCGTGGAGCTGCTTCGCACCTTTCCTATTCATTCTGCTGAACCTCTGCTCTTTCGGCTCCCCCTTCTTGAACTGTCTGTTTCATGTCTTCGCTCCTCTATTTATTTATTGGTCGAGCCGCTTCGCTCATTCGCCTAACTATTCGTGTCTCATCGCTTCGCTCCTCTCCTCTCCGAGTCGAGTTGCTTCGCTCCTCTCCCTGTTGGTCGAGTCGCTTCGCTCCTCTCCTTTGTCTCGCGTCTTCGACCCTCGTAAACTATCTGCTTCTCTACTTACTCCTGAACCCCTATTCCCCTCACTTGAGAGTCGAGTAAATTCATGCAAGAATCAGAAGAAAATGAAAGAGAAGTAGTTCAACCAACCCTTGTTTACCGGAGAAGAAAAGATAAGAGAATGAAATCAGGGAGACTGCTGTGAAGCCCGACAAGATTAATGATCAGCTCCTGAACCAGAACCTCTATTCCCGTCCCGGGCGGGGAACCTATTTAATAAATGAACTCCTGCTCCTGAACCATATTGAACTTAAAAAGAAGGATTAGCTCATGAACCAGAACCTATTCATTGTCAGTCTCATTACTTCGCTACTTCACCTTTAGTTAGAGAATGCCAGAAGGGAAAGAGGAAGAAAGAAATATTAATGATCCTGAACCGTAACCGATAGAGAAAGAAGGTAGATGAAAGATTAAAGAGAGTTTACAGTCTTTGTTTGAATAAATGAATGAGTTAGCAGCTTGACCTTACCTTGCCTTTGGAAGGAATAAATAGGGAAGGGACATCAGGCAGGTTCAGGGTGTCGGTTTCTTCTTCTTCTTTTCCTCCAGTTGTTTACCTCGTTCAATCAAAAGGGTTAAGCTTGAGTCGAATTCATCCTTCTTACAGGAGAGGAAAAGAGTGAGTTCAATCAGCCTACTCTTTACCCCGAGTTTACTGTTCAAGAATCCATAGGAGAAAGAAGAAATAGCAATAGGTTCAGTAGTTCAAATGAATAAGGTAGTAAATAGGTTAAGGAAAGGGAATACAGGGGAAGTCGCTCACTTCACGCCAACCCAATCTCTACAGGTGAAAAAAAGGTATTTCAGATATTTAATCAGTCAGAGAAGAAAATGAAAGCAAAAGAGGAAGGTAATACTGTCAAAGGTAAAGGAAAGAAAAACTCACACTAGAATAAAGAGAAAGAAAAGAGATTCGAGACGACCTACCTATAGCGAGAGGAAAGAAAAGAGACCGTGTAAAGGTTGTTCAGGTTCCGGCATATAGTAGAATTGCTTTACCGACAGGTCAAGGAGAAGGTAAGTTGGATGAATCCCCCGCTCTACCCCAAATTCTTCTTTGTCTGACTGACTCTCATCTGCTTTTTCAGTTCAATCTGGTAATACAGTATAAGGGGAGGGAAGGATTAATTCTTAGGAACCGAGCCGAGCTCAAGCTATCTATTTGACTCTCCTGCCTGTAAATTCTATTTGTTTAAAAAGCCTAGTTACAAAGAAAAGAGAGGTGAACGAGTAAAGTAGAATTAATCTTTCCTTAAACCTTCCGAAACAGAATAAGGTAATGGAATTGGGAANCTATAGATAGATGTAAGGTCCGATACGGTTCTTATCGTCTGTTGTTCCTCTCTATCCTAGTGCTTCTATTTTCCTGTGCTGGTAGTTGAATAAGGCCAGGCCCATATGAGCTGAGCAGCTATTAGCTATCTTAGCCATCCTTTGCGACTATCCCAGTAGGAGTAGTAAGCTAGGGCCAAGTCAGTCAGATTTTAGTCATACCTTTTCACCCGGACGTTAATGCTGACATCAATCCTATCTGCCTATCGTCCTTTAGGTAGTAATACTAGAGTCCCAGTCAAAACTCTAGCTTCGGAGAAAGAAGAGAGTTACAATCTCATGGTTAACCAGAATTCTTTCTAACCTGCAAGCTATTCTTCTTCGGCCTTCTTAGACCATCCCACTTTTGTTCCCCCGGCTTCAATGCTTTCATTGAATTCCATGATTCTGTCACAAAGCTTGTTGACTCCTTCTGCAACTTGAACCACCGATCGGTTCCGTGCCTTTCTTTCTGCTGCTCATATCAGCCTAAGTTCTCCAGGGAAGATACCTGGGAGTAGCCGACCATGATTTCATAGATGGGGTCTGATAGAGCTCGACCGAGAAAAAGAAGTGAAAGAGGCATCTTCCATTCATATTGATTTAGGGTTTTCCGCATCAAGAATGAAAAGAAGGAAAAGGAGTTTACCGAGTTCAATCAGGGAAGGTAATAGATAGAAGGGGCAGGCAGGTTCAGGAGTTCAGTCGAATGAATAAGGAAGGAGTGTTTACAGGATAATTCATCGAGAGTTGAGTCTGAACTCGAATGAATCGAGAGTGAAGACTTTCAACACTTTCAGGGGCAGGTTTAGGATCAAGATCAGTTAAAGAATGAATCTTGAGTCTTGACTTTCAACACTTTCAGGGGCAGGTTCAGGTTTTCTCTTTCGTCTTTCGTCTTTCCTTGAAACACTTTCAGGTTCAGGGGCGAAGACACTTTACCGAGGTTACGAGGTTCAGGGGCAGGTGAATGAGCAAATCTTTCTTTCATTTGTTTGTTTCGTCTTTCAAAGCAGCTAAGGTAAAGAAAGGATAGGTTCAGGTTCAGTAGCTAGCTCTTTTTCGGTTTCGTCTTGAAAAGCTGCTAATTCATTTCTTCTTGAACTGTAAAGGAGAATTCATTGAAAGAATAAATAGGGACAAGTGATTGAATAACTCACCATAACTGAAGGGAATATCGGTTCAGGAGTAAGTCGCTCTCCTGTCAGCTAATTCATTGATTCAAACAAAGACTGTCAAGTCTCATTCATCGATAGTCTTTCCTTGTTTACGAGGTTCAGGTTCAGTAGTTCTGTCTCATTCTTGTTTCGTCCGTCTTTCCTTGTTTTAAAAGAACTAGAAATGGGGTTACCGAGACAGCTGTGGAATATCCTGTTTACGAGGTTCAGGATCATTCTTCTTTCTTACAGTCGAGTTCAAGAGTGAAATCAGTCTCATTAATCTTGAGTATTGATCTTTTACCGGCTGTAACTGTAAAGGTTCAGTAGCTCAGGGAATATCGTCAATTACCGAGTTAAAGAGTGAAAGAAGGTTCAGGTTCAGTAGCTCTCGGTTCAGGTTCCGGAGCAAACAGACCTACAGAAAGAAGGGAATGAGGTAATCCCCCTTGACCTTGGTGAAATTCAATAACAGCAACAAACTCCTTTTTTATGAAAGATATGTTGACAAAGATTTTGCTATGTGGAGGAAGAGATCTTTCTATTTCAAGTTGATGAGAAAAACTCTACATGGATAGTCCTTATATAGGCCTTTTGGAACATCCTCATTCATGGCCATACATTTACCATTAAATAGTGAATCTACCTAATACATGTATCTACTCAATGTATCTAACTCTTATGACTCTTCAAATATTAACCAAGTAAATGGATCTCTCATGTACATGTATCCTACAAATTCATTTATCTATATAAGTGCATGAAACTTGAATATCTAAGATTCTCCCCCCTGAAACTTCTTTCTCCACGAACTTGGACGCCAAGCTTCTTCCTCAGATGTTGAAAGGCATCCGACTTTAATGCTTTTGTAAATATGTCGGGAATTTTCTCACTCGAACTTACATGGTGCAATTCCACTTCTTTTGTCTTCACATGTTCTCTTATGAAGTGAAAGAGAGTGTCTGCTTCCTCATGATGAACCGGGTTCTTGGCTAGAGCTATTGCTGACTTGTTATCAATGTAGATCTTGCTTGCTTGCTTCTTCTTGTTTTAGCTCCATTTTCTCCAAGAATCTCCTCCTCAACCATATAGTATAGCATGACAAACACATACCCACACATACCCAGACGGGGAGAGGTCTTGTTTGCAGAGTACCCGTAGCTATACTTTGCTCGTTTTCGGGTAATTTCTTCTTTCAACCCATTTAGTGCTTTCTTTTGTCATATAATATAACTTGTACTTGCTTTAAACTCATCCAGTTGGATTGGAAAGATTTCACTGGACACATACATCTCGCAGTTCCATATTTGGTTAAGGTATGAACCTCCATTTTCAGCTGGTATGTTTTGTTCCAGGCATGATATAGTTTTTGAATAATCCCAGGTTTTCTTCTTCAGTCTGACACATAAAAGATAAATATCAAATCTAAGATATATTGTGAGATCCCAGGTCGGTTGAGGAGGAGAACGAAGCATTCTTTGTAAAAGTGTGAAAAGTACTCTCGAGTAGACGTGTTTTAAAAACTTTGAGGAGAAGTCCGAAGAGAACTCAAAGAGGACAATATATGCTAACGGTGGACTTGGGTCGTTACATATATGCAACTAAGTTAGCCTATTGATCTATAGTGGCCTCCTATCTAGGATTAAATATCCTACCGGTTTCCTTGGCAATAAAATATAGTAAAATCATCTAAGCGTGTTACTATATGCAGTCACATTAATGATATTAAGCTAAAACATGTTCGTTCTAACTCTGAGAATGGTCTTTTTAACTTTCTTCCAGATCAAATGCTCCGGATGCCCAGCCGAAATTGTTGCTGACTATCATCCCAGATTATCCTTTATTAAACTTCATGCTTACAACTATCACACTCATGGCGGTAAGTATTAGTTATTTACTTTCACGTCTTGATGATATTGAAAAGGCTGAGGTGTTTGCTTGGATGCAGGCTTCTTACAGGCTGTCTGAGCTGACAAATACATTTAAAACGGCATTTGTACCTAGCAAGGACAATAAGCGCATTATGTATAACATGATGAGTGGAGGTGCAATCGTGGGCATCCTGTACTCCTTGTCCTTTGTATTCCTCAAAGTGCCACCAGCGTCGGTAAAAAGTCCTCACCCCCTTTTGTTAAGAGTATAGACATCACTGAAGTTTAAATTGTAGTATTATCATCTTTGTTCATGGTTGCCATGCAGGTTTGAGAATTGGAGAAAATCAAATAAAGATTGTACAGAAGGGCACTGGAGTTGATTACAATTTTCTGTGAAAGACGAGAGGGAGCATTCGACTCCAAACGAGAGTATTGAAACACGGAATTTATTTTACAGGTTAACCCCACTGATCTTAGTGAATTATGAAATGAAATGAAATAAAGTACATGTTCCCACCATCACTTTAGGGCAATTTTTTAGATAATTTGAGATGAGGGTCTTCTATTACAAACAATCATTTGTTCTTCACCCATATTTCATACTTTTCAATATCAAATGAATAACAAATTTCCTTTCCAAGCTTCCCTTATTTCTATTTACTTGCATTTCCTTGACACCTCATCACAAACCTCTTTTATTCGCGGGCATGTCACTCGTATGACAAAAGAGTGTATACTCTTGGATTCCTACTTTGCTTGCGTTCTTCACCGATGCAAGTTACACATAATCAAACTATAAAATGAGAAGCATTTCGATTGGAAGAAATTTCTGTTGAAACTAATAATAGCTAATAATAGAATTTGAATTAGTTACGGAAGAGAAGGAGGAGGTGAATTCAAATTCATCCACAAAATCATCCACAAATCTCCACAAAAATCTCAACCAATTTCGGGAATCCCCCTATAAAAGGACCTCCCTCCCCATCACTCAAATCACTCCTCCTCTCAATCTCAATTCAGTTTTCTGTTGTCACCAACAACTGGTATCAGAGCAATCTTGCAGCAACAAAAATGGCAGCAGAAAAACAAGTTGAGAACTACGTTCAGCCGGCTATCCCGAGGTTCGACGGTCACTATGATCATTGGGCGATGTTGATGGAAAATTTTCTCAGATCAAAGGAGTTCTTTGATATGGTGGAAACAGGTTATGAAGAGCCAAATGAAGGCGAGGTACTCTCAGCTGATCGACAGCAACTGTTGGCAGCATCGAAGTTGAAGGACCTGAAGGTCAAGAACTATTTATTTCAGTCCATTGATAGGACTATCTTGGAAACAATGCTTCAGAAGAAGACATCCAAAGAAATTTGGGACTCTATGAGGAGGAAGTATCAAGGCTCAACGAGAGTAAAACGTGCTCAACTACAGGCAGTTAGGAGAGACTTTGAAATTCTCCAAATGCAAAAGGGAGAAACAGTGAATGATTATATTGGCAAGGTTATAAGTCTTGCAAGTAAAATGAGGATGCATGGTGGTTCAATCACAGATGTTGCGGTCGTAGAAAAGATTTTGCGATCACTAACACCAAAGTTCGATTACATTGTATGTTCTATCGAAGAAGCAAACAATGTCGAGGAAATGCAAATAGATGAACTCCAAAGCTCCCTGTTAGTACATGAGCAGAGGCTCAATCGTACAAGTGCAATAGAGGAGATGACGGCCTTAAAGATATCCACACCAAGTGAAACTTAAAGCTCTAGAGGTAGAGGGCAAAGAAGAGGCAGAGGTCATGAGAGAGGCAGTCGAGAAAGAAATGGAGATGTTGGCAGGTCAGCAGACCTAGTCAGAAACGATTATGACAACAAAGGCAAGAGACACTTTGACAAGTCTATAAGGTGGAATGCTACAGATGTGGACGCCTTGGACATTACAAAAATGAATGCTATACCAGGCTCCAAAAGGAGAAAAGAAATCAATCCAATTTTATGGAGAGAAGAGAAGAAGAAACATTATTAATGTCATTCCATGCTATGAAGGTTGCAGATCAAGGTGTATGGGTCGTAGACTCTGGATGCAGCAATCATATGACAGGTTGTAAGGAATTCTTCTCAACTTTAGATGAAAATTTTCATACTACGGTCTCTCTTGGCAACAATTCATCTCTTCAAGTGATGGGGAAAGGAACCGTAGATATCAAGACTAGAAATGGCTTTGTAGAGTCTATTTCTAATGTATTCTACATTCCTGATTTGAAGGCCAACTTACTTAGTATCGGTCAGTTACAAGAAAAGGGGTATATCAATTGCTAAGATGAAGATGACCACCAACCGTCTATATCCGTTGACGTTAAATATCGTTGCCAAAAGTTTGATGGTGAAGAAAGAAGATACCACTTGGCTTTGGCATTTTAGGTATGGTCATCTACACTTCAAAGGATTAAAGACGTTGTCCTCAAAGAAGATGGTAACTGGGTTGCCAGATATTACTCCACCAACGGAAATTTGCGAGAGCTGTGTAGTAGCAAAACATGAAAGAAACTCTTTTCCATCTGGAAAATCAAGAAGAGCTCAAGCAATTTTGGAGTTGATTCATTCAGACATATGTGGTCCCATCTCTCCTGCATCAAATGGCAACAAGAAATATTTCATGACCCTCATCGATGATTTTAGTCGAAAAACATGGACTTATTTCTTGCACGCCAAATCAGAAGCCTTTGACTGCTTCAAAAAATTTTGTGCTACTATGAAAACCGAAACTGGAAGAAGAGTCAAGGTTTTAAGAACTGACAGAGGTGGAGAATTCTGCTCGAAAGAATTTATTCAATTTTGTGAAGAGAAGGGCATACGGAGGCAATTAACAACAGCATATACACGACAACAAAATGGTGTGGCCGAAAGGAAAAACAGGACCATTCTGAACATGGTTCGAAGTTTACTAAATAAAGGAGAAGTCCCGAAGGAATTCTGGCCAGAAGCTGTTGTGTGGTCCGTTCACATTCTCAATCGCAGCCCGACCTTTTATGTTAGAGATATGACTTCACAAGAAGCATGGAGCGGAAGAAAACCTGCAGTAGACCACTTTAGAATCTTTGGGTGCATAGCATATGCACATGTTCCTGATGAGAAAAGGAAGAAACTTGAGGACAAGAGTTCGAAGTGTGTGTTCCTTGGAGTAAGCGAGACCTCTAAGGCATACAAGCTCTACGATCCTTTGACAAAGAAGGTGGTGGTGAGTCGTGATGTAGTCTTTGACGAAAATAAGACTTGGACATGGGAAGAAAAGATCACTGTGAATCAGCAGATTCCTGTAGATCTTGAAGAAGAACAAACTGAAGCTCCTATTCAGCCTCACTATGAGTATGGAGAGAGCTCATCACAAGCTCAACCAGAAGAACCAGTAGAAGAAGATCATGATCATAATCAAAGACATCCAAGAACAAGAAAAAGACCAAACTGGATGATTGATTATGAGATGGATTATGAATCAAGTGATAGTGGTTATTTTGCATTCTTTATGGATAGTGATCCAATTGTCTATGAAGAAGCAGCAAAAGAGAAGAAATGGAAGGAAGCTATGGACAGTGAAATCAAATCCATAGAGAAGAACAAGACTTGGGAGCTCACTGATCTTCCTAGAGGGCAGAAAACAATCGGAGTAAAATGGGTTTTCAAAACCAAGTTGAATGAAAACGGTGAGGTGGATAAGTACAAGGCGCGACTTGTTGCAAAAGGATACAAGCAAAAGTATAGAATTGATTATAAGGAGGTATTTGCACCAGTGGCATGTCAAGACACTATCAGGCTCATAATTTCTATTGCAGCACAGAAATCTTGGCCTATTTATCAACTTGATGTGAAATCAGCCTTCTTACATGGAGAGCTTCAAGAGGAAGTATATGTGGAGCAACCAGAAGGTTTTGTTCAAAAAGGCAAAGAGAAACAAGTATACAAGTTGAAGAAAGCTTTGTACGGTTTGAAGCAAGCTCCGAGGGCATGGTACAGTCGCATTGATTCTCATTTTGAAAAGATGGGATTCACTAAATGCCCGTATGAACATACGTTGTATGTGAAAACTGAAAAGGGAGGTAACATTATCATTATTTGCTTATACGTCGATGATTTAACATTTACTGGCAATAATGAAGAAATGTTTGAATTTTTTAAGAAGAGCATGATGAAGAAATTTGAAATGACAGATCTTGGCTTGATGAGATATTTTCTTGGAGTAGAAGTTACTCAAACTCCCGCAGGTAACTTTATCTGTCAGAAGAAGTATGCTCAAGAATTACTTGAAAAATTTAAATTGGATGAGCGCACATTTGGAACTCCATCAGAATTGGGTTTAAAGTTGCACAAGGACATTGACGGGCGAGAGGTTGATAATAGGTACTTCAAACAAATTGTGGAAAGTTTGATGTACCTAACTTCAACAAGACCAGACATCATGTATGCGGTTAGTATGATAAGTCGTTACATGGAGCATCCAACGGAAAAACATCTCAATGCAGCAGAAGGATACTTCGTTATGTGAGAGGAACCTCTGATTTGGGGGTATTCTACAAAAAAGGAGATGATTCGAAGATAGTTGGCTATACAGATAGCGACTATGCAGGTGATATAGACGATCGTAAAAGTACTTCAGGAAGTATTTTCTTGATGAGTTCAGGAGCTATTTGCTGGTCTTCAAAGAAGCAACCTATTGTAACACTCTCAACGACAGAAGCAGAATTTGTGGCAGCAGCAGCATGCTCGTGCCAAGCAATTTGGTTAAGAAAAATGCTTGAAATTCTTAATCAGAAGCAACCAAGTACGACGATTATATATTGTGATAATATGTCAACTATTAAGTTGTCTAAAAATCCTTTGTTGCATGGAAGGAGCAAGCACATCGATGTTCGATTTCATTTCTTGCGTGATTTGTGTAAAGAAGGCATTATTGAACTCAACTTTTGTCGAAGTGATGAACAAATCGCAGACCTATTCACAAAGCCCTTGAAACAACCATTGTTCGAGAAGCTCAGAAGAAAGATGGGGATATGCAGAATCCAAGATGTATATCAAGGAGATGAAATGAAGTCCTAAACTGATTTCCGGAGAATTCAGTTTAAGGGAGGGTGTTGAAACTAATAATAGCTAATAATAGCTAATAATAGAATTTGAATTAGTTACGGAAGAGAAGGAGGAGGTGAATTCAAATTCATCCACAAAATCATCCACAAATCTCCACAAAAATCTCAATCAATTCCGGGAATCCCCTATAAAAGGACCTCCCTCCCCATCACTCAAATCACTCCTCCTCTCAATTTCAATTCAGTTTTCTGTTGTCACCAACAATTTCCACCTCATTGATGATCCATTCACAAGTCAAATAATGATATTAGTCAGAAAAGCAATAGTGATCATAGTGACTTTTTGTGAAATTGTTAGTTGAGAGGATTCAAATCTCTGAACTTTCGAAAAATTACATGTCAATTATCGTTGAGATATACTCACTTTGGCTTGATTTTGGTATTTTCAAACTCTACTCTATTATATTTTATATATTTTAATATCTAAATTTAATTTTAAAAAATTAACAGTTAATTTGTGTTTAAAAATATAGTCCCATTTTCTTGATGAAAGATTATTATTATATTTTTGCCAAGTGGACTAAAGATTAAAATCAAACTAAAATTATGGAGTGTATAATTTATAATATTTTTAGAATTATTTATAAAATTATGGATCCGCCGCCGCCACTGTTCGGAAGGATATAAATAAGTGAGCATTGACCATCCCCTCAGAATCTTACTTTGGAAGAGCTGAGTTCTTCGGATTTATTTCTGTTCAAGGTTCTGAATTTGGTTATTCCCACAATTCTTGTACAATGTATTTGAAAGAAGGTTGCTCTTTATTGCTGAAGATTCAGAAACCCCTGATGCCCTTCGTACTAAATTCAAGCCCCATCATCAATCCCCGTGAGCCCAATAAACAACACCTTCTGCAAGAATCCGATGTGCTCAAACAATTGAAAAGGGAACGCAATCTTTCATCGGCATTACAATACTTCTGCGCTGTAGCCAACTCAAACGCTTTCAAACACACCGCATCCACGTATAAGCTCATGATTGAGAAGCTCGGCCGTGAATGTGAAATGGATGTGGTGCAATACATTTTACAGCAAATGAAGATGGATGGCGTAAATTGCTGCGAAGATTTGTTTGTAAGTATAATAAATAGTCACAAACGCGCAGGCTCCGCCGAGCAAGCGCTAAAGATGCTCTATCGGATTGGAGAGTTCGGGTGCAAGCCGACGGTGAAGATTTACAATCATCTTTTGGATGCGTTGCTGACTGAAAACAGGTTTCAGATGATCAATCCCTTGTATATTAATATGAAGAAAGACGGATTAATTCCTAATGTCTTTACATATAATATACTCTTGAAGGCGCTTTGTAAGAATGATCGGGTTGATGCTGCACACAAGCTGTTTGTTGAAATGTCTAGTAAGGGCTGCCCACCCGACGCGGTTAGCTATACGACTATGGTGTCTTCACTTTGTAAAGCGGGTAAGATCGACGATGCTAGAGAGCTAGCGGGAAGATTTAAACCAAGTGTTCCTGTTTATAATGCTTTGATTCATGGGACGTGCAAAGAAGGAAGAGTTGAGGTAGCGATCAAGTTGTTAGGTGAAATGATGGAAAATGGAGTTGACCCTAATGTGATCTCATATTCGTGTATTATAAATTCTCTTTGCGAGTCGGGAAATGTTGAGTCGGCTTTTGCATTATTGGCTCAAATGTTTTCTAGAGGTTGTAGTGCCAATATCCAAACCTTTACGCCATTGATCAGGGGTTGTTTCATGAGAGGGAGATTCTATGAAGCTCTTGAATTGTGGAAGCTTATGATAAAGGATGGTTATGAGCCAAATGTAGTCGCTTACAACACTCTTATTCATGGTCTTTGCAATAGTGGGAGTTTGGTAGAAGCCTTACAAGTATGTGATCAATTGGAGAGGAGTGGTTGTCTCTCTAATGTGATTACTTACAGCATTCTAATTGATGGTTTTGCAAAAGCTGGTGATTTGGTTGGTGCATCTGAGACATGGAATAGGATGATATCCCATGGTTGTTGTCCTAATGTGGTGGCCTATACCTGCATGGTGGATGTCCTTTGTAAAAATTGGATGTTTGACCAAGCCAATTCTATTATGGAGAAGATGACTCTTGAGGGCTGTACTCCAAATACTGTAACATTTAACACGTTCATCAAAGGTTTGTGTAGAAATGGAAGAGTAGAATGGGCAATGAAAGTGCTTGATCGAATGCAAGGACATGGGTGTCTCCCTAATATCACAACTTACAATGAGTTACTTGATGCTCTATTCAGGACGAACAAGTACGCAGAGGCTTTCGGGCTTTTCCAGGAGATTGAAAAGGGAAATTTACAGCCAAACTTAGTGACTTATAATACCATTTTATATGGTTTTTCTCGAGCTGGCATGCTTGGAGAGGCGCTGCAACTTTTTTGTAAAGTACTTGTGGGTGGCACTACCCCGGATGCCATCACATATAATACAATGATACATGCCTATTGCAAGCAGGGGAAGGTTAAGACTGCAGTTCAGCTGGTGGAACGAGTTAGAACTATGAAGGAGTGGCATCCAGATATCATCACATACACTATCCTCATATGGGGTGCCTGCAATTGGATAAATATAGAAGAAGCCATTACTTATCTTCACAAGGCAATGAATCAAGGAATCTGCCCCAACTTTGCCACATGGAATGTATTGGTTTGGTGTTTCTTTGACTCTTTAGGTCATATGGGTCCAATTCACATTTTGGACGATATTCTGGGAAAGCGGTAAGATGGTGAGTTTGAAAGACGTTCATAAAACCAATTTCAGATGTAGTTGTGACCTCAGATTACGTACATACTGAGATTTTTGCTTGAACACACTTGTAGAGTTCTTAAGGATGCTTGGGCAGGTTATGCTCTTCTTGGCTTACTCTTTAAATTGACTAGCGGGGAATCAAATTCTATGGCATATGCCCAATTGGAGCAACATGCCAATGTTGAGTTTTTCTGGCACCTTTTTGTTATCATGGATGGTATCTTCTCGCCCGTGTGATGTTTATTGCAAAATGAATCAACAAGGTAATGTCAATTCTTCAGGCATCTTGATGGGTCACCATGCGTATATGTTTTCCCATACATGATTTGCAATATATTGTGCAGGGAATCCACCTTTTGTTCATTGTATGGTTAAATGGTTTCCACTACATTCATTTTAACGTGATTTGTAGTAATTATGGAAGAATCTCAACAGTCCGCTGAGACGTAAATCTTGATTATTATTGGAAAATTCCCTAGGAACACGATCATTACCCCCACCATACACAATCTTGAGAATCTTCTCGGTTTGTTCTTACGTATGAGAGTGAGTACTGTGTTAGGAATCACGACTCTCCACAATGGTATGATATTGTCCACTTTGAGCATAAGCTCTCATAGCTTTGCGTTGGGCTTTCCCAAAAGGCTTCATACTAATGGAGATGTATTCCTTATTCATAAACCCATGATCATCCCCTAAATTAGCCAGTGTGAGACTCTCTCCCAACAATCCTCAACATAATGATCTCCCACAATCATGTTGCCTGAAATCTTATCCTCAGCACCCGCATAGTTGGGTACCACAATGCCTTCATCTTTCAGGCCAGCACGTTCAAGCTTATTTTGCAGATTTGAGATGTGCTGCGTGAACTCTGCCATAGTTACTCCATATAGTTCAACATTTTTCGCTGCATATTGACCTGTTTATACTTTCAGAAGACCTGCTACAATTTGAAATATTGGCTCGTGGGATTGTGGTTAGTGTCATGCATGTGTGTATGATTTGATCTCATGCTTAAAATTATCTTTGAATTTCAGGGAATACCTTCTTGGAGACAGCAGATTCGAGTTTTGGATTTCCTCCCGCATAAGGAACCAGGCTATGGTGGTAATTCAAGCCATCAGCACAAGGGTCAAAAGGTGGTCTCAACCGGCGGCCAAATGCTCTATCCATCACTTTGGAATATGATGTTGAACAAGCCCAGTAATGGCCTTGGAAATCCTTTTACTGTATCTTTAATTATCCTGCGTGAATTGTATAATGTGAAATTCCCTGCAGAGATTCATGAAGGAGAAGTCGGTACGCGTTTTAGCGTATCTTTGATTGTATCTTTAATTATCTTGAGGGAAAGTTTGGAAAGGAAAGTCCAAAGAGGACAAACATTCTTTATCAGGGTGTGAAAACTTCTCCCTAACAAAAGCATTTTAAAAACCTTGAGGGTGTTGTCACCAACAGAGGGGAAGCTCAGAAAGGAAAGCTCAAAGAGGACAAGCATTCTTTATAAGGGTGTGGAAACCTCTGCCTAGCATACGCGTTTTAAAAACCTTGAGGGGAAGCTCGAAAAGGAAAGTCCAAAAAGGACAATATCTGTTAGCGGTGAGCTTGAGTTGTTACTATCACGGTCGTACTTTTTCAACCATGCGGCGTTGTAATCTTGGCACGCTTGCGACTAGCCTTAAATCAAGCTCCGTATATATTTTTCGCCCTGGCTTTGTGGTTTCATCAGACCTTAGGCAAGATTTGTTTTCGCCCGCCGAACATTGCTTATGAAAAATCTAAGCTTGTTCAATCACACTTGCCACCTGCATGTGCATGTTCAATCGTCTGCGACACAACCGACTTGCCTCTACACTAGGTCAAGTCATTCGGCTCAACTATACCCATACTCAGGGCCAAGGTCTTTCAATGCTACATCGCATCTCATCTTCTCATCTTGGTTCCCAATCGACATGGCTCATATGTCTTGACGTCATCCCAAGTTTCGGGATGTTGACCATCACAACTCACTCGGTCATGTTATCGGGAACGGGCCCATGTATCGTTCATCTCATCGGGACATTTGGAACATCTGTCTATCTAGGTACTATCGAGGCATTGGCCCTCCTGTGCCCATGTCATGTGATTTACGGATACCGTACCGAATAGCATGTGTATAATCCAAACTTTGGCACTCAGGCTGAGGAGCAATACCGACATACTTGTGTCACCCGGTATTGTCCTTGAAAAATCAATTTTAAAGGTAGTCGCCTGAGACACTCGTCTTGGCACACTCGCTCTCACTGTGACACACGCATCTGCCATAGGATAGCTTGCTTAGACCACAATAGAGCTAACATCATGCCTACTCCACACATAACATGATTTTAGTGAACGGTCATACGTTGTCATGGAGCATAACGTCCTATGTCCATTAACACCAAATTTAGCAAATATTCATCTTTCATATGGACTGACTTAACTATTTTCACTACCATCTTATTTTCTCTATTCTTAGAGTGACAAAATTTAATTGAGTTTCTTGCCCTCTTATTATATTTTTAAATTTTGTTCACCAAACCTTTTCTATATTTATTGATTCTAACCTTATTTTTATAACTTAAAATACTAATAAAAATCTAATTAAACCTCATTTTCATAACTTAAAATGCCTAACAAAAATCTAATTAATTGAATATGAGAATGAAAGATCTAATTCTTACGATCAATTTGATAAATTTAACACATATGTTGAGCCATTTCAACGAAACTCTAAGGAACGTTCAAACAAGATGAATTTGACACATATACTAAGTAAAAAAAAAAACCAAACATAAACACTTTCATTTTTGGGCCATTTTCTGAGTAATTTTCCAAGAGGCCGTTTGGTTTTGATGGAAAACAAAAGGAACTCAGAACCTGTTGACTAGAAAGTGGGCAATGGACGAAGCAGCCATATTTGGAGGCTATCTTCCAAATAATTCCTCATAATTAAGGTTAGTGCAATATCTAAGGGTTCTTGGATACATTTCCAACCTGTTTTAACTTAGGGAAGTCCAGCCATTTTACGACAGTTAAAACGCTATATACAAACTCTTGATGCCAGCTCTCCTATCTCTGCACCATTCATTTTGAAATTTCCTATGATGGGTGCTACCTTGTATATTTAATGAACTTACTTACCTGATCCGGCTGTTGAATTACTACCATACACTTCAAAATTACTATAATCAACTATGGTCTCAACATCAATATCACCATTGCTTCTTTCCCTTTTTCTTTTTCTTGTTGCCACTCCCACTGTTGCTGCTACTCTTGTTAAAACTTCCTCCTGCTTTTGCCGACGGGCTCTCCGTGGCACTGCCACCACCATTGTCGAACACACCTGTTAGAACAGCATTCTGAAACCACTCAAATAACTCTTCTTCTGTCATGTTCATCATGTTCTCTTCTATATTTGATGGAGGCATTTGGCCTCCTCTTTGGCTAGAACTTGATCCTCTACTGGTGTTTTGCTTAGAGGCTACACTGGTAGTGGTGTTTACATGAAAACTTGGCCTGTGCGTGTTGGCTGGACATCTCATTCCCTGCAGCAAAAATCAGCAACATACATTTATATTTCTTCATGTATCAGCGGGGACAAGAAAGGAAACATGTCATCAACATCGCTTGAGATGCATGCATATGAAAAGACCACTACTGATATTACCTGACAAATATACCATTCGGTAGCATCATAGATTCTGCTCTCTGCACATACATATGCAGAAGGAGCATCTACCTGCATAGAGAACATCATATGTGGCGTTATGATATAAACATACACGCTTGAAAAAAACCACATTTCACACCAACTTTCTTCACTGAAATTATACAGAGACCAGGTACGGTCTAATACTGATAGGCCTTCAGTTCATTATACCTATGGAAGAATAATAAATAATAGCACCAGAAGATATGAGTTATTGCATGCAGTATTTTTTAAGTAACAGAGTTCCAAACTTTCACCAATCATATTACCTAGTTTGTGTTCTAACAAATACATCTACGTGAATACCCTAAAAACGACATTAAACAATTTTTATGAGCACCATTATAGTATTTTCTATAAGCATCGTATAAGAGAAAACAGGCAAGTCAAGTAATTCAACAGGTATCCACACATCAAATCATATCACGTCTTGATAACAAGCAGATCCACATGTAAGTGAAACATACCTTCTGCAGTAATCCAAAGAGAAAAGGCTGAGAAGATTGCTCCACCCACCCATCCCCATCCTTTGCTTGATGAAAATCTTTGCATTCCTTTAGAGAAGTAAATATACATAACAATACATACAGCGTCTGTTAGAAAATGCGAGGATACCGTACCATCACTAGGATACTAGAGCACAGAAAACCAAACAAAATCAAGAGTCTGAAATAGAAGAGAAAGACCTGGCACCATCTTGCTTGAGATTTCAATTTCCTAGTGTGAATCCATAAGTGAAAATTGTTGCATTTTTTACAGGCTATTCGTCTTGATTCACCTGAAAGATCCTCTCTATCTGTGGCTGATCGTGAAGATGCAAATGGACCAATCCCTCCACTCTATATATGCATCAATAATTTGCATAAGATACTCGAACAAAAAACTTGGACACAGAAACAATCTCGAGAGCTTAACTCATAGCTCAAGTATCATTTACAATTGCAGATAAAACTCTTAGCGAAAAGCTAAAAGTGCATTGAACTGGAAATTTTTAGGTCTCTACTGACTACACAAATCTTATTTTCCTTTTTGTTTTTGGGTGTTTGTGCTCGTGTGTTTTTTTCTTTTTTTCTTTTCTTCATTTTATGTGCCATGGGGTAGTTTATCAATAGAAGGAGCCAAATATATTATGTAACTTAATATTTTAGTCATCAGGCGAAAGAATTTAAAACATACTCATGTGAAAAGAAAAGGTTAGATTATGAAAAAAAAAATACTCAGAAACTTTGCCCCTGGTAAAAGAATATTCATATTCTTTCAAAAGTTGAAATACTACCCTTGACATTTCATAAATGTTTCAAGACTGCCCTTGGAATAGAAAATCAAATGTTGAACAAAAAGTCGGATTTAGCTCAGACAAGCATCCTAGTCATTGTTATGTTGTTATAAGTCATCACCATGTTGATTTTCCGTCCAACATTCCAATGGATTTCCACCCGAACAATAGTTGTGAAATGTTAATAAGAGGTCAAGGGTAATATTTCAACTTTTAAAAGAATAAGGATATTTTAAAAATAAATGCAAAGTTCAAAGGTACTTTATATAATTAATCGAAAATAATAATAGCATAGTTACATTATCCACCTTCCTATAGATGATATGCTACCCATCTCTCATCACTCTTCTACACTCACCACTAACAAGTTAGACTAAATGCTAAAAATGGAACTTAAGTTGTGATTAGTTTGGTAGGAAAGGTCACATAGAACAATCGTTTGTTAATAACTTGGAGGAAGAATTCACTTTACCTCCTTGCTACAAGTGAACCGAGTCAGCATCTCAACATGTGAAATGCCATTCCATTGTTAATATTATGGAAGGACAAAATAGGTTTTCCAACAGGAACATGAGCAATAGACGAATTAATCGGTGTCAATAACGGTTTCCAATAACCAATATCATCTAGCTTTATACAATCCCAATGTCTAGGCGTACAAAGTTTCCATTGAGAACAAGCATTACCTCACAATATAAATGGGAACACAATTATGGTGATGAATGGGTTCGATTGTCAAGATCCAAACTTAAGTCATGTTTCGTGTTTGTCGACAACTTGCCTTATAATTTAATTACCAAAGAAACACTGCAGCTCAATTTCAATTTTTTTTCACCTTTCTATAAATGGAGACGTGTCAGGAAGGTTAAAAGAATTTTTTATAAGGTGAATCTGTTTATCTTTCTCTCTCTTTCTATTCTTCTTCTTCTTTTGTGTGTGTGGGAGGGTTTGAGGATGGGGGTTATACCTTCTGTGAAGCACTTTGAAACCTGCGGAAAACATTTAGCAACTCTTCCCTTCTCAGTCCATCATCATAGTTTTTTCGCTTTAATGAATCAAGTAAAACCTATAAAAAAATTATAATAATAAGTAAATAAAAGAAACATACAACTCTCAAGAACAATATAATACAAAGGAAATGTTTCACCTCGTATGCATTTTGAAGCTTCTTAAATGCTTCAGCAGCCTTTTCATTGCCCATATTTTTATCAGGATGGACCAACATTGCCTGATAACCAGTTTATACAAGCTCATTCAACAAAACTAGATATATACCAATTACCACTTCCGCAGATAATCAAGATAATATTTCAAAAAACATCTAATTTCCAAGAAGTACGACACCACTAATAAATATAAGTGAGACGAAGCATAATGGCAATCCAAAAGAAAAACACATGAGACGGAGCATAATGACTATAACTACATGAACAGTGAATAGATTATGCAAATTGTACCAACATTAATGCAGAAATTCACCTTTTTCCTATATTCCTTCTTGAGCAGGGAAGGAACTATATCCTCAAACCGAGACAATCCTAAAACTGCATAATAATCTGTACAATTCAGCAAACGAATGACTTCATCTTCAGAAGATAGCTCAGAATCAGCTCCACTGGTTGAAGGTGTGCCTGAACTACGATCAGCAGCAAAACCTGCACTGAATTCAGAAGACGATGCCTGCATAGGATCATCCTGAAAGAAGCCAGGCTGATCTTGCATCCCAGCTGCTTGTTCAGGATATCTGTTTGATCTCCTATGCTCATTCATGTTGTTCTTTAGGACATAAATAAGAGCATCACTTGAAATAAACGACAAATTCAGGCCCAAAAGCAAACCAAGCCATCCAGTGCCTACCCATCCACAATATACCGAATACAAAGTGGTGATAAAAAGTGCAACTCTTTCATGGCTCAATATAAATGCCAACCCTGAAAATTGTGATGCAACACCTTAATGAATGAGACTTGTCGTGATGTTAGCATGAACAGAGAAATTGTGCAAGTTCCAAAGGTAAAGATATTACCTCCAAGAGATATGATCAGCAATGTTGTCCAAAAGTTTCCATAAAACCAAAGGAAAGCTATTCCAGAGATGGCGACGACAAAAATTGCAAAGGCAGACCCAACAAAAATTCCAAGGGAAGCAGCTATTACCTGGGTAGATTCCATTTATTATTTACCATGGATCTATATAAAACAAAGGGCAGGAAGGATCACCTAAGAATTCAGGAGGGAAAAAAACAGAAAAAAGGGCATATAACCAATGAAAAAGGCTGACAATAAGAAGCCACGCATAGACAGGGTAACAAAACACAGACTAAAGATTCTATCACACCGAACACTAAACACAGCTATCCCAATGATATTATACCAATGCCATTATGAATCAGAACTGACCAAAAAAAACAATCAGTCATACAAAGTAGTAGCCAGTTGGGAAGAACTTAATCATAAATTTATGCACAAAATAGCAGACGGACTTAAGGATAATTACAAAAAGACTTCTACACTGAAGTAAAAAAAAAAAAAAAAAAAAAAAAAAATGAAGCCAAACAAGGGACCACACATCCTACTTAGACCTCTCAACCCCTCTTACGATTACATCATTCCTCTCAACTCAAAAGCCTCAAAGAAATCATGCAAACCCCCACAGGCCACAAAGAGCAAGACAATTCGTTGATGTTGTTAAGAATAAATACACACAAAAAAAAAAAAAAAACCAAACAAGCATATGGAACTCCGCATAACCTTATGGGATATGTGTCTGCAATGAACACCCAACCGTCATTAGAGGATTTTCAAACTGTACAACTTGAAGATAGATGGTAATACCATTTTACTTGAAAATAACTATTATATCGAGAGCCCATGAGGAATCCAAACTTTCTTATAAATGCTTTAAAACAAACCGTCCATACAGCTACAACATTGCTTATCTTCTAATACAAAATTATAATGAGTCTCATGCTTCACCGGTACCATTCCATACAACATCAACTACGTGCTTGGAATAAAAAATAGTTTGGTGATTAAAGTCTTAGGAATATCCATAAGACAATGTTGCTGCTGGAGTATTCTCTAAAAGAAAATAAATATCTATTCTTCAGGACAAGCAGGAAGTAGAATAAATAAACACGATTAAAACAAGATAGGAAATAACACCTATGCAAGAGTATTGCAATAGCTTACCAAGACCACAAGGAATTTAAGAAGTCCAACCATTGCAATAGTTGAAAGAATGGAGAACCATATAACTGAAAAGAAGGATGTTGTCCCCATACGTATAAAGGAATCAATGCCCCTAAAGGCACAGTCCAACCATACAATTGATATGAGAAGCATTATGTTACCAAAATGCATCATCCACTTCAGAACAATGGGATATGCCTTCTTAATCTTCTTTCCAACACAGTCACTTGTATTCAGTAAACTTTTCTTCATAGAATTAAACAGAGGTCTCTGTTTCTCCAGAAACACATGGGCTGCTTCAAATGTTGATGACAAAAATTCCACAAAACTTTTCACCAAAATATTATCTGAAAATTTGATATTGTCCACCACATTTCTGATGCGTTCTCTATAGCTACAATCTAAATGTACCCGCTCCCTATCACCAGTAGACCCCTTGTATCGTTCTCCTATTCTAGAACCCTCATTATCTCCATTGCAGTTTTCAAATTCTTTGGAGGGAAATGTTGGCTCGTCTGGAGTATGGAGTTCTTCCGTTCCTTGTTTTTCTTTTCTCAAAGACTTTGCAGAATTTTTTACATTCTTTATACCCTCTCCGGTGTCACTATTCACCATGCCTTCTTCAATGGATCTGCTATAGTGGTTTTCATTTGGCAGTTCCTCTCCAGAACGTACCTTTATCTCTTGTACTCTTCCTTGCACCTTGGACTGCAAGTCTGAACCTTTCTTTTTACTGTTTGATGCATGGCGCTCTGACCCTGTTTTCTGATGATTACCCTTCCGAGCCATTGAATAGAAAATTTAAGGATCAATTTCAAGAGTAATTCAATTGAATCATTTCCAATCGCAACATATGGTCCATAGCAAGCATGCAGGAAAATGTGCAAAGGTTATAGCCTGTAGACAAAAGAAGTATATAGTCAAACCCTAATTTGTTTGCTTTGATGATCATTAAAGTAACAAATATGTTGAGATAATATAAATAGAAATTGGCACAAGAAAAATGGAGAAAGCACATTAATGGATGGAAACATAATCTAGCATTACAGGGTCAAAAAAGCGTTGAAGGGAAATCAGCAAGGACAAAAAAAAACTTTTTAAAATAGAGAAAGCAATTATGTAGACATTCATAACCAGTGTTGTTCGAGGCATAGCTTGCATTTTATGTGGTTTCACTACGGTGCACCTAAGACTCACACCCTTTTCCTTTTCAATTTCTGTAGGTTAATTGTTACAAAGTAAGTTGGTGTGCGCTTTATATTGCATGACTACAACTATATACTAATTTTGTACTTCATTAGAATTTATGACCAATTGTGTAGTTAGACAAAAACTTGTTGCGATTCTTCTTCTGGAAAAAGAACTACGAGAACTACGACAGGAGCACCCATATTCCAGAGCTGTGGCATAAAGCACCCTCAATGAAGGATAGTCACGCAAAAGCAAAAAAATAGTAGCAAATAAAATATTAGAGTCAACTAACACGAAAATAACACACACTGGTCGATGATATATGTCCTTAATCCATATTTCGGGAAATGCCTCATTTCCAGTACCCCGGTAGACCGATGACTACGAGTGACAAAGATCAAGAACAAAGTTAATTTCACATAAATTTCCCACGCGCTCTAACTATATACAGATTACTTATAGCTGTTCAAGTGTCACAATTCTCCGACTATATTGCCGAGTAAAGCACATTTTTTTTTTTCTTTTTTCTTTTTTCTGATTCATCCGTATTCTTGATTCCAGAAAGACTATGCAAAAGTTAAGAAGGAAGCCAATTTCAAAACAAAATTTCAAAAGAAGCATAGAGAAAATCGTTATTTACGATGTTAGGCAGAAATAATCGAAAAAGATACAGAAATGAAAGAAGGAAACCTCAAATTGCAGCTTCTAGGAATGAAATACGCCAAGGGAAGTGAGAAAGAAAGCAGCAGGCAAAAGAAAACCCTAATAATCAAAAGTGGAGAAGAGCATGAAGAGCGGAAATTGGAGTCTAGATCCTAAGGAACTGTGCTGGTAATGTGGAGGAAGTTGAAGCGGCGGAGTGAATGGCGGAAGAAGATTTGGGGGTTGTGCAGCGGTGACCGGAGAAGACTACGGCGATAGGGGAAGTGTCGGGTAAAATGAGTCGCAATTCCAATTGCTGCGTTGAAAAGAGGACGTAAGAAATCCGTGTGCCGCTTAAAGCTATCTCGCCATCCCCATTATCAACCAGAAGCATTAGCAGCTGCAAAATCAGCCTCCCCCAATGAAAATTTTACATAAATTTAATCATTTCTAATAGCACGTGAAATGTCACGTGACGGAAACTCTATCACCCTACTCACATTCCTTAGATAATGATATTATTAAATTAAAAATAAAAATTGAATTGATTATGAATTAAGTAATAATTGAAAGGTTCACGGTGTCCTACCATAAAAGCTAAACATGTAGATTCCATTTATACATTTTCCATAAATTCGAGTAAATTGTGTAATAAAACAATTAATAAGTTAAATTAAATTCATAATACGAAAAATATACCGTATTAGAAAAAAGTTAGGTTACCTTTTGAATCCTTAGGTGTAATGAGTAGGTTTGGTTTCAATTACGATGAAAGAAATGGATTATTTTAACGCTCTTACATGCTTATTATTACCTTTATTATCCACATATGAGTACTATATCTATTAATTTGACTCGTAGATGATTTGAGCACATTTTAAGCATGCATACCTAAGGAGTTCGAATGGTTGTTAAGTTGGACTCGTTACTACTAAACATTTCGTTAGGGGCATGGGAATAACTTTGTGTTCAAGTAGGAAATTCGTACCTAACACGATGTCAAAGTCGTCTAGTCCCTATCTTGATTGGAGTTCTCTTTGCAATCCCTTAGACAAGTAGGGCTGTTGAATTGACGATTTTCATTCATCCTGTATCTCTATGTCATAGGATGTTCTAGCGTTTTGCCTCGATCTCCGTCATGAAGTTGTGGGTGGCTCCAGAGCCAACAATAGTGTTCTTGGCCACTCTGTGGTTGACCCAAACCTCAACATACATAAGACCGCGTTCCACTGACTATTCTATCTCACACACTCTCTTCTGGAGGGTAGATAAATACTTTAAGGCCCCATGCGGGGGGTTCTCCATGTTTTTTACTAGCGGTGTTTCAATTTATGTCGTCTCGTACTCAACTTCAGAGTTCATTCCAAGAAATTTTTCTTGGAAGTCATAGAGTGTCCGCCTTTTGTGGACACTCAGTTTTTCAGTGGGTTCCCTTGCATATGAAGCAAGACGAGAGGCCATGACTTTGACTAGGACAGTTCTGGCTGTGGGTGTGGGTCTCTGCCATGGAATTTTACCTTTCTATTGGAAGGACTCACATTCCTCTCCTCCGCATTCAAGTCTGTCACTTCCTCCATCTTTGAGAAAGCTGGGTCAAAATTTTTTATTTTCATTGCTTGCGGAAGCCTGGTTCTTCCTTATGTCTTGGGGTTGATCGATGTTAAGATCAAATAGTCGTTCGACTATAACATAGGTCGTGGAAAGATTTTGAGTTCTTTGTTCATAGAGATTGATTTTCGCCCACGACTCCAGCCCTGAACAAAACTGATGACCTTGTCTTTCTCAGACATATCACAAATATCTAACATAAGACCAAAAAACTGCTTAACGTAGTCTCGGATATTGCCAATATGCCTAAGCTCCCTTAATTTCCTTCTTGTTTTAAGCTATTCCAAGTGTCCACAATACATCGACCATCTTGAATGTCCACCACAACTTTGCATTGTTGGCTTGATGCATATTTGCCAACGTGACCTTCGCTTCTTCTGCTACAGTATTTGTGACTCGATAGTACTGTTCGAAGTCAAAGATAAAGTTCTCTAGAGTTTTGGTATCTTGAGCCCCAGAGAAGGGCTTGGGCTCCAAGACCTTTATCTTGTTGAATTGGACTACACCCCAGTCGGGGTTTGGTTCCCCACTGTTCTTATGGTGAGATTTAATCTAGCGCTAAGATTTGCGACTTCAACCCTAATCACTCCAACGACTTCTCTTGAATCCTCGAACATTTTTGAGACCATCGGAACAATCGCTTGTTGGGCATTGTTTAAGTGTTCGTTGCGATCTTCGATTCGGGCCACAGTGCCCATCGAGCTAACCATTAATTCACGGACAGACATTACCTCAAGGTGGCCTACCATCTTGTCGATCCTATAGGTTTTAGCGACAATCTCATTCATGCAAGATTCCAAAAACCACATTCCATCATGTCAGTCTTGCCGAGTTGTTTTGCAATGGACATATTTGTTTACTACAATTCAAGGAGCCAACTCTGCTCTAATACCACTTATCACAATCACACTCTTGTGGCATTGGGACAACGATTGTGCAACACTTGTTCCACGTGAAAAGGAGCCAGATTCTAACGTGAGTTTTATGAAAAGGGGCCGGATTCTAACCTGAGTTTTAAACACCTTCTTGGCTTTCCTATATCCATCTTAATCTATAGGTACCCAAGTTGGTGTAATGAAGAATAATCTGAAAATGATTTGAGTTCTTCCCAAAACATCCAACTATGTTCTTTGGATTCTTTTGAAATTGTTTTAGCCTTATTTGATGATGTTTAGAAGGCATGAAATGAGTTGGGGAAAAGTGCAGAATCCTATAAAAAGTTGGAAATAACAGCCTTCACACCAATGGAATACTGAGGTGCACTAGAAGACAACGTATTTCCACAAAGCTAAGCTGATTCAACCGTGTGGGGCATCTTCTTCTTCACAACCATTCTCATGCATTTTTCATTCTCTCTCAATTCAAATTGTATATACAAGAATCGAATCATCTGGACAAAAGCAGCTTTCCTTTTCTTTTCTTTCTTTTTTTTCACTTTGTGTAGCGCCTAAGTCTCTACGCCTCGTGTCCACCCCGAAGGGCTCATCCTCCTCGTGGGCACATCACTCAGTGTCTGGCTCTGATACTATTTATAATGGTCCAACCCCGATGCTAGCCGATATTGTCCTTTTCAGACTTTCTCTTTCGAGCTTCTCCTCAAAGTTTTTAAAACGCGTCTATTAGTGAGAGGTTTCTACACCCTTATTTATATTGACATAGAATTTTAAATATATTAAATAAAACGTCAAAGTCTGAGATTCTTAGATCCTCCCCAAATTGTCCACATTTGTCTTGTCTACAAACTTGCAAGATAGGGAATGATCCATAATTAAGATGAGTATCCAAAAGGCAAAGGGGATGATCCAAAGGTGCAAAACATAAGAATCTTGTCCATCTCACAGCTTAAGGATAGGATTCCAACTCATATTCATCCCACCAATCCCATTCTCTTAATTGCACTGTTTGTATTAATACCAAGTAATCACAATACTAACATACTCCCCCACGGCTTTATAAATACCTGCATTCCCATCCCTCCACAACTCAAGCTTGAAGGACTAAACCTACAACTTAAACCTGCCCTACAAGTCCTTCTTGCCTCCCTTTCTCAACAACTCTTTTGTTGTTCCAAAACCACCCACATAATCAATATGTCTCCGGCTGCCACCGAAACTGCCATCGAGTCGACCGATGCCCCCAAGAGGGCATTCGTGACGTTCTTGGCCGGTAATGGAGACTATTGGAAAGGTGTGGTTGGATTGGCAAAGGGTCTCAGAAAGGTCAAAACCGTCTACCCTCTCATTGTAGCTGTCCTGCCTGATGTTCCCGAAGACCATCGCCAGATTCTCGAGTATCAGGGATGCATCGTCCGCGAAATCGAGCCTGTTTACCCCCCTGCAAATCAGACTCAATTTGCGATGGCATACTATGTTATCAACTACTCGAAGCTTAGGATTTGGGAGGTACGTTCGATTCGATTCGCTCCTTCATTCAAATTTAAATATATACTCAAAAGTGTTTGATTGCAGTTTGTGGAGTATGAGAAGCTGATATATTTGGATGGGGACATTCAAGTGTTTGAGAACATCGACCACCTGTTCGAAATGCCAAATGGATACTTCTACGCCGTGATGGACTGCTTCTGTGAGAAGACATGGAGTAACTCACCGCAGTACAAGATTGGTTACTGCCAGCAATGCCCTGACAAAGTCAAGTGGCCTGTTGAGGAAATGGGAAACCCACCCCCTCTTTACTTCAACGCTGGATTTTTTGTGTATGAACCCGACCTCTTTACCTACAAGGATCTTCTCGAAACTTGCAAGGCCACCACTCCAACCTTGTTTGCTGAGCAGGTAATTAAGTTAGAACTTCAAGCATTTAGCCTTATCATATCAATCACATATCTTAATGCGTATATAGGACTTTCTGAATATGTACTTCAACGACATTTACAAACCCATTCCTCCCATTTACAACCTTGTCATGGCCATGTTGTGGCGTCATCCTGAGAACATTGATGTAGACAAAGTCAAAGTTGTCCACTACTGTGCGGCGGTATGCTTTTCTTTTCTTGTTTGGTTACGAAAATATTGAAGATGAATGATGCGTTGTATTTAGTTGTGAAATGTATGTGTAGGGATCAAAGCCGTGGAGGTACACAGGAGAGGAAGAGAACATGGACAGAGAAGACATAAAAATGTTGGTGAAGAAATGGTGGGAGGTTTATGAAGATGAATCTTTGGACTACCAAAATGTCATCAAATCTGAAACCAAAGAAGCAACCAAGCTCGCGCCTTTGGTCTCTGTGTTGTCGGAGGCTGAAGTTGTCAACCATATCACAGCTCCTTCTGCTGCTTAAATCATATATACATATATATATATATAATATATGTATGAGTGTTTGTGGTGTGAGGCCAAATAGTATTATTATTATTAAGCTTATTATATTATGTATGGTAGCTCAGGTGGGGGTTGTTTTGTCCTTTGTGCATGCAACCCCCAACCTTGTTCATGGCTACACTTCAGTTTCCAAATTTTATGAATAACCCTGCTTTTATGTGCCTTTCTTTTTGCTCTGCTTCTTGTTCATGGCTACACTTCGTTTTATGGAATTAATTAACTTGTTAAAAATTTGACCGAAAACCCCTTACCAAACCGGGTCGGGTCGAGTCATTTATCGGTTCAACCGAAGGAATGCCTTTTAGGGTAGATTTGAGGGCGCAACCGAGCTGCAGAAAGCAGAAAGAAAGAGATTTGAGGGCCCAATTATCCGGGAGTGTTTCGGAATCTGTGTTGTGCGGAGACTTGGTGACTCGATTCCTTTCAATTTGCCGCAATCTTTCAGGTTCTTCATCCGATTAGGGCTCGTTTGATTCTGCATTTTGTTTCATAATATCAGCACACAAGATCCTTCTCCCCAAAATGCTCTGTTTATAGGATGAGTTTTGTTGCTCCATTTTTTTTAATTCTACCGCTTGAGCTTTCTCCCTACTGCCATATTGCATTAATATCGGAGCAAGCATGTTTATTCAACCATGGCTGAAGGGGAGCTTATTTTTGTTATGGTTCTCGTGTTCGTCTCACAAAAAATGGAAGACTCATGCGAGGTTTGCAGCTTTTCCTAATTTTCCCTTTTATATGTCAGAATCTAATGGAATCGGGTAAAGAAGGATCCGTTCATATGAGTTCAGAGGGAAAGCCTAATGACACAGGTGAGCATAGGGAGCGGAGCAGTTGTTTTTTGTGCTTTGCATGTTAGCATATGTAGATTAAGAAGTACAATGTTATTCTTGTTCATGTTGCTAGAAATAAAAGAGCGTGTTGATGCCATGTGGGAGCAAATGAATAAAGGGGTGTCTTCTAAAACCTTAAAAGCTTTGTCAACCAAACCATCTCCACCAGTGAATAAAAACTCAAACAAGCCATCCAATGTAAAAATTCACATTCTTCTCTTTCACAATGAGGCAGGTCAAAAAAATAGGAAACAGCGTTTCTCTTACTTTATTCTCTCCCCATGTCCCCCGTCTCTAAAATTGGATTTCATATCTTGGTATGGCGTCAAAGAAGATTGAACCTCAAGAAAAAGATACGTCATCGGAAGGATCCAAGGTTCTGCAGAACAGTTCTGATGATGCTAAGGTGCTTGCTGCTACTGCTCTCTCAGCTGTTAGGGACTCTACATCTACTATTTCTGGCAGAGGGAAAGTTGAGGTGCCAGTACTATCCTTTTTCTTTTTCTACCCTTTGCTATTGTTAGAGACTTATAGAGCTGAAAAAGGATTTCATTAGAATGTCATTTGGTCAGTTGTTCGTATTATAATTTAGAGGATATCCATCTGTCTGTCTGTCTCTCTCTCTCTCTCTCTGTTTTTTTCCGTCTAGAACAGTTTTTTGGTTAATTTTTCGGTTTAGGCACTTTTCTGAAGAAACAGATGAGAGCTGTACTTGACTTGATGGATGGGATAACTCTAGGAAATGTAATGGAGTTTGTTAGGTGGATCCGTCTAGGAGCAAGAATTTTGAGTTCAGATGTTATGACTTTATGGGTGAAGGAGGGTTTGTGGGAAATGTAGCGTGGGCGGGGAGCAAGATGTATGAGAGTCCTCCAAGAGGTTATAGGCCTTATAAAACAATAGAACAGTAAGTTTTGGCATTGGTTATATTGATCTGTTAATTGATGAGCTGAAGGAAAATTGTACTTTTACTTCAACAGATCAGGGAGATAAGGGACTTCGCAGGCCAAAATGTGGAAATTAAGAAGTTTGTAGATGCTTATTCAAAGGAAGCACACGAGAAGATGAAGGCACCTGCTACTTCAGCTGTTGATGCAGTCCTGGAACAAATTAAGAAGAAACAAAAACTTAGTGTTCTTGACAAGACAAAAAAGGACTGGGGAGAGTTCAAGGAAGAAACTAAGGGTCTGGAAGGGGACTTGGCTACTTACAAGAAGAGCTCAAATCAGTATCTTGAGAAAGTTTCGTTTTTGCAGCGAGCTGACTACAGGGAGTTCGAACGAGAGAGGGATGCACGGTTGTCTTTGCAGGCCAGGAGGAGGCCCGACATGTGAGAGGAGCCATGATTAAGCCATCATCCAAAGCTCTGTGAAGATGTGCCCTTCTGTTGAGGTTCCAGAATTTCTTGTGCGGATCATTTTTCAATAGGAGGCAGGGCCATCGGCTTAGCTGATGCAGATGTGATGATTTAGAGTGATACTGGTTTAACAAATAGCTTGACACCTACTTCTATTACTCCAAAGTGTGTGTATAGATGAATTATTATCCATACCCAACTTGACACCGGCTTAGCTGAATATTATTATAACCAATACTTGACGATTCATCGGTGTCTGCTCCATGTAGAATAGCTTGTTTACAAGCCTCTTGGGGGTCTTGACTTCACCTATCCAGAAGATTCAAAATAATTTAGGCAGCTTTCTTTTGCCATGGTAAACCTTATTTTACTCTCAGATATGTGCTTGTTTTGAACATACAAGGAAAATACCAAGTACGTGCTTTGCACAAACTAGTGTAGTGTAGGTGCACTATGCGTGTAAATTACAACGAAAAGTTTGTTCTGTCCTTTCCTGTTGTGGAAACTCGACCGTTCTTACAAATTATTGTTTCGCGAGAACCAGAGCAGCAGATTTATCTGCTTTCATGCAGGATGGGAAAGGGGAAAAAAAAGTCTCGAACAAGCAATTTCCAACTCGTCAAAAGAAAAAAAAGAAAAAATACAAAACAAAAAGTGACGATCCACTAGATGTGAATGGGCTTGTCATACGTTGCCATGGCAGCCTCCTTCAATGCCTCACTCATCGTTGGATGAGCATGACAAACGCGGGCAATATCCTCACTAGCTGCGTCATATTGTAAGGCCAGTACTGCCTCGTGGATAAGCTCCCCAGCATTGGGCGCCATGATATGGACGCCAAGTATCTTGTCTGTCTCCTTCTCCGCCAAAATTTTGACCACCCCTTCAGCATCATCAATTGCTTTTGCCCTGCTATTTGCCAAGAATGGAAACTTCCCAACACGATATTCCACACCTAGTGCCTTTACCTGTTCCTCAGTCTTCCCAACAGATGCAACCTCTGGATGTGTATAGACAACCCCAGGGACTTTGTCATAGTCAACATGGCCGATCTTCCCAGCTATGAACTCCACGCAGGCAACCCCATCCTCTTCAGCCTTGTGAGCTAACATTGGCCCAGGAATTACGTCTCCAATTGCATAAACACCATCCACATTTGTAACAAATCTTTCATTTACCAAAATCCGCCCTGCCTTATCAGTTTCAATCCCTAACTTGTCTAGCCCAAGTCCAGCAGTGAACGGAGTTCTACCAGCAGATACAAGAACAACATCTGCTTCGAGTGTCGTCTGTTCACCACCAGATGCCGGTTCAAGAGTCAGCTTCACGCCATCCCCTGAAGTATCAACTCTAACCACCTTAGTTTTTAGCATAAATTTCATTCCTTGCTTTTCAAGAGCACGCTGAAATTGCTTCCGGACTTCCCCGTCCATAGTTGGGACTATCTCAGGGGCAAACTCAACAACTGTGATCTCGGATCCAAGTCGACCCCACACTGATCCCATCTCTAGCCCAATGTATCCAGCTCCAACTACAACAAGTTTCTTGGGGATTTCTGACAAAGCTAGGGCTCCTGTTGATGACACAATTTTCTGTTCATCAATGGTGATCCCGGGTAAAGATTTGACATCAGATCCAGTTGCAATTATTATATTTTTTCCTTTCACCACCGTGTTACCACCTTCAATGGTGTCCACAGAAACTTCAGAAGGGGAAACCAATTTTCCGTAGCCTTTAACATAGTTCACTTTATTCTTCTTAAAAAGACCTTCAATACCACGTGTGAGATTGCCTACTGCTTTATCCTTTTGTGCCATCATGGCTGGTAAATCAATCTCAACAGAAGAAAACTTCACTCCATGGCTAGCGAATGAATGCTGAGCTTCATGGTACATGTGGGAGGAGTGGAGAAGAGCCTAAAGCATCGAGGTAAATTATTTTAGAGTTCAGAGAGCGACCTAGCTTTTTAAATTGACACATCGAACAAACATGGGATCGACCTAAACCATTAACAGCTTTTAACTAAAACGGTGTACATAAAGAGCTTGCTCTTATATGAGATCCTGCAAAAACATCAAAATGGTAGCTGTATCTTACAAGGGCTGATATTTCATGCGTGAAACAAACCAACCAATGATGGAACTCCTAGAAAGACTAAGAGAGTGGCAGGTGATTCGGTTGTCTTGAAATGTGTATTAGACAGTAACAGATCGAATTTCAATTACGAAAATCCCTCACTACAAAGTGAGCACGAATCAAGCAAGTAAACAAGATCGCGAATAGTATGAATAGAACTAACTCAACCAGACATAATCAGCCAATAAATCATTGAACTCAAAATTTAGAAGATGAAATGAAATATAAAGTTAAAGAATCAGATTAACATTAAAAAAAATTAAAAACTAGATATAGATGCTAAATAATGAACCCTAAGGGCGAATTACGATTACCTTGGAGGGAATACAGCCAACGTTGAGGCAAGTTCCGCCAAGAGCCCCACGCTTTTCAATACAGGTGGTTTTGAGGCCAAGCTGAGCGGCCTTGATTGCCGCGACATAGCCACCAGGCCCACCTCCGATAACGACAACGTCGTTTTCATCGGATCCAGACGAGGCAAAGCGTCTGGAGAATGATGCGAATGAGAAAGAGTGATTGAAGGAATCAGAGTAAGAAATAGGGAGGTTTCTGTATAGAAGGTTGGCCTTCCGCCTAGCACAGTTCGCGAGTGCCATCTGATTGGGCGAGATGGAGAAATTCAGAAACTGGAATTGGGGCTGGATCTGAAGCTCTGCGACTGAGAAATGAGAATTCACCACCAACTCAGCTGCACGCTTTTGATTATGAAGATGATCGCCAACTAAAAAGCCTTTGTGTTTATAGTTGTAATAATCGGGCGTGGACGTGGCTACTTTCCAATTTACTTCCACTAATTTTGGGAAATTTTACTTCCACTGATTTCACAAAATTTTCCTGTATAAATTTTAATTTTACCATACCGGTATTATTTAAAACTATATGGAAACTACTTTTTAATGCGAAATTAAAAATTAAAAATATATTTTTTAATTTCTAAATAGTTTTTATTTAGTACATGAATTTCAAAATATTATTTTACACGAGAAGAACTTATTGAACCGAGATGGTAACATTTATGGGATAAATTTGTGACAAAGAAGGCAACCCAATTCCAATATGAGAGAAATAATTATTGTGTATTGCATCGTCAATTGCAGACAAATCTTCCTACGTTTCGACAGCTTCCAACAATCACGTCGAAAGTGACTTTTGAGTATTTCACGTAGAATAAAGGCGCAATGAGCAATTGAAGAAGAGAAACAAAATGCATTGGCACCATTGTTTTATGCAATTAATTCTACATATGCTTGCTTGTTCGTTCAACTAAAAACCCAAAGAAACACAAAATACTTAAACCAAACAAAACAAGGGCAGGCTTAAGACCTGAAATTAGGGCTTCTCTTCTCATTTATTACTTTACACAAATAATGCCGGAACCAATCCTACTAGGCTGCCTCCTTCCTTCCAAACTCTAATTGACAAATCAAAGCCGCACTCATGTGAAAAAGTACCATCCAAAACTATCCACTCAACCTATTTCTTTGTATCCCTACAAAATTGCTGGCTGCTTTTTTGCTTCTGAAGCAGTCACAAACAGGCAAGAATTGATTGAACTTCAAATGCTATACTCAGTTTCCTTCTAACAAGCTCCTCAACCTACTTCTCGCCTCTTCGGTCAGACTACGCGGCTTCCATATCCGCTGCTGAGGAATGCAGCTGGGAGAAGAAAGGCAGATTACTATTGCAGTAAGGTTATCTGATGTGTTGAGGCGCAAGGCTTCCAAGACTAACTCTTGGGAACTTTGATGAGGGTCATTGTGCTTCCTCAACCCACGTCGAACAAGACTGACGGCGTATTGGCTTGACATTACGTCCCAAATACCATCACAGCCAAGGATCAAGAACTCGTCATCGTTCGTTAAAATAGCATGCTCCACTTGTGGCTCAGAAATCAGAGGTGATGAGGAGCCATTTGGCAATTTCAGGTCCCAATCCCCCAAGGTTCTCGTTACTGAAATATACCCATTCACATACCCATCATCTACGAACCCTCCCATCGCTTCCACTCGCTTGAGCTCGAGTACATTAGAAGGCCTGTGATCTTGAGACATTGGAACTGCTACACCTTTCCTACATAGGACCGCTCGGCAGTCACCAGCATTTGCAACAAGCAAATGACTTCCAAGAATCAATGCCGTCAACGCAGTTGTCCCACATGAGCTTCCAACACTTTGCTCATCAGCCAAGGCAAGATCTGCCAGTAGAAACGCTTTGCGATGAGAACTCTCCAAATCTTTCATGGAAATAGAACTAATATCCAGCATTTTTAACCAATCAGCATCTTCAAAGAATAATCTAATGGCATTCCTCTTGATAAAGCCAGCTGCATGAGGCCCTCCATGACCATCGAAAACAGCATAAAAACCACTTGGCACAGGACACTTGAACATAGATCTGAGGTGGGTAGACAGATCATCAATGCAGATATGTTCATCATCCATAGAATCCCGAGCTCCAATGTCCGCGTAGCTACCAGATCGAATGTTTGGAACAATATCTATGGCAGTTGACAGTAAATGGGCATCTTCAGCGATATCTGAACATTTAACTGCCTGCTTGACCAAAGATGAAAAGGGCAAGGTAAGGAACTGCCCCTCTTTTCTTTTCTTCTTTTTTTTAAACAGGTATTCCAGAACGGAATGTAATATCTAATCTAAGCAGTACATAAAACATCAAATATGTCGAGCTTAATAATTACTAACTAGTAGAAGTAACTAACAAGACAAAATGAATCAAAGCAATTATTCCAGCATAGAAGCTACTGCAGCGTCAGCAGAGGGTTTCCACAACTGTATATTGGTAGTGAGTAAATTATTCACACAGTATAAATTACACAGCAACGTAAAGTCATTATGATAAACATTCATACTTAACATATAAGAATAACAAAAGTAGAAAGTAACAATTCCAATTAATATCCAGAAAAGTTGGGTTTTATTGCCCTTCAAACCTCAGCCCACCCTCCTAAATTAAACAGTTTATATTTAAGGGTAGTAATCACGAATGCTGTAATTCTAAATTGTGATTAGACAGAAATGAGGGAGAGATGTGAAGTTGATACCTTCAGTTTAGAGAGCTGGCTTCCTTGTTTCATCTCAGTGATACGGAAAATAAAGAATTAAGGGTTCTATGGCTCAGTTCTTTGTTCAAAAGGCCTTTTTCTCTTCAGCAAATATGGAAGAGACCATGTACGTAAAGGAGAATTTGCGATTGGTAGTTCAGATTTTATGAAGAAATCTAGAATAACTTGGGTTCCAATTATAGGTGGAAAGGGAAAAAAAAAAAAAAAAGATACGGGTTCACAGAAGTCTAAAAATGTTTATAAGTAGTTAGTTCGGGGGGGTTGCTAGTAAGAAAATCTTAATGAGGTAGGGAAAAAATAAAAAGCATTGCTCGGGAGGTTTAGCTTAAGTTTTTGCAAAGTTCTTTTTTTCTGGGCAGAGCTGTGGCCTGGGGGTTTCCTCCTGGTGGTGAGTTGAGATACTTAGGTTTCAAACGGTTTTCAAATTCTCTCACTGTATTTTATTGGCTTGGTTTTCTTGGAACTGCTTGCAGTTGGCTGTGGTTGGGTTATGACCTTGTAAGCCTTTAGCTACTGGGTTAATCTCTTCCTCAAAATCTTTCGAAGTACGGATTCCTTTGGGTTTTTCTTTGGAGTTGAAAGCTATGCTTCTAAAAAAGACTGGGAAACAGGCAAAGCACCTTCTCCTGATTACAAACCTAACCCCTTCGAATACAATAGCGCTTATATGTATACACATATGGAGGAAAGAGAACTGAATTAAGACAAGTAATAGGACCCCAATCTAAGTTGATAAGGACCAAGGGAATTTTTTTACTGAAGGAGTGGAAAATAGCACCTCCAATTACATACATCACATGTTTCTTATCCCAAAAAAAAAAAAAAAAAAAAAAAAAGCACTGTACATTTGACCCTATTACAAAGTTTTACATAAGAATTAGAAAGATCAGAAAAGGTCCTAGAATTCATTTCTTTTTAAAGAAGCCAAAGGAAAGCTCTCATCACGTGGACCACAAGCTTTTAGCTTTATCCTTGAATCACCAGAATGAAAACCACTTTGTGAGATCGTCTTCCCCCGTTTTAGAAGGGCAATTGAACTTTGACAAACGAGTTCCAGTCCTGAGGCAAATCTACATGTACAAAAAGGAGGTTGGAAGCGACGAAGTTTCCCCACTGCTAAAGCACATGGCGCAGATATTCGAGGAAAGAAAGCACTTCATGTTTTCTCTTCAATTCCTATCAGACGTATTCAGCTGCTCATAGGAAAAGGTTGATCTTTTTCAAGCTCCTACCTTACCAAGCAAGCCCACAAAGCACTAGCTCCAAGAGGCTATTTCCTTCATTTCAAGTCCTCGTATAAGAACTAATAGAAAAATATCTCTGGAACATCCCACTTCCAAACTATTCTATCATTTTCAGGGTTAGGGGATATAAAACAAAAATGAAAAAAGGGAATCCCATTCGCTAGCTTGCTATCAAAAAGCCCTCTTCTCAAGCAGAAGTTCCATCTTTCAATATCTTCAGATCAGCACTTATTAACTAAAAAGAAAAAAACAAATTCAATTAGCACTTACATAACTGGAGGGGAAAGAGATGCTCAGAGGGTGGGGGAATCCACGAGTCTTCCAAAAATCTCATCTTCATACCATTCCCCAGCTTGTCCCAAGAGTGCCTATAAAAAAAAAAAAAAAAAAACCCGTATTCTTAATGATATTTCTCCAAGGACCGTGGGCTTTTTTTCCTTGAATTTTCTGACTGAGAATCCATTTCTAATAACGGTTGATTTTCTAAACGGGAATATCCACTAGGGTGAAGCACCTAAATTAAGAGGGCCATGTTTTTAATTCTGAAACTACCAGACTCAAGCCTGGAACCACCCCCCAAAATGCTTTATTGTTGAAGTTTTCTTCCAACACACAAGGGGGCTCCCTCCATCTTTACTAGTAATCTCCCAAAGAAAATCTTAAAATTTGGAGCCCTCTAAGACATAGTCATCAACTCACAATTCTCCCTCCTAGGCAACTCTATCTTCAACGACATAGCTTCCTTTGAATTTCTCCTTTTTAACTTCTTTCGATCCCTCTTATAAATCTTAGCCATTCATTCCTCCAATTTCTTCTCATACATCTACATTTTATGTATTGTTATTATATAATCCTCCTTTTGTCCCCAAACTTGTGATAGAATCTGGTACATTATAGAAAGGGTATTTATCGAGGAAATGAAGATCTGACCAGAATATTAACAGTGTAAGGAGAACGTACAAGATCAACCTTGCCCTTCGATCAAAATAGAAGCTCAATGTTGATAAGTAATTTTTCTTCATGGATTCAAGAAAACTTTTACTTCTCAATAATAATAATGAGCCAAGTGAGTGCGTCTTCTCTTCAAATAAAAACTTAGGTTCTGCTTTTAGATTTTTCAGGCCATTTAAGTTTAGAACATAAAAGAAAACTACTAAAAGGAACTAATCTCAGGAAGATAAGGAGCAATAAACTTTTCATTCTGCAAAGTGATTTCCAAACAGCAACACAAACTTCTAGTTGGTAACCTGCTTCCAAACAATTAAAGGAGCTCTCTTGGGTGTGTGTGTGTGTGTTTTGCTTTTGTATTAATGGAAGAGGTTGGGAAGATAACAAGCAGTCAAGTCATCTCTAATTTAAGAGGTCGTAGGTTTGAATCCTCCTACCTATCCTCC